AAATTTTTTTTTTTTTTTTTAAAGATTTTTTTTTTTTTTTTATTCATTTGACAGAGATCACAAGTAGGTAGAGAGACAGGCAGAGAGAGAGGAGGAGGCAGGCTCCCCGCTGAGCAGAGAGCCCGATGTGGGGCTCGATCCCAGGACCCTGGGATCATGACCTGAGCCAAAGGCAGAGGCTTTAACCCACTGAGCCACCCAGGCGCCCCTAAATAAATAAAATCTTAAAAAAAAAAAAAAATACATTCACATGGTTGTGCAACCATCACCACCATCCACCTCCATCATCCCGCAGTGAGACTTTACTCATGAAATAGGAACTCCCCATAGCATACTTTCTAAAGGAAGGAAGACGGCAAAAGTCTTCATATTAGCTTAGAAATATTGGTCAATGTCTTTAGACATTTAAAAACAAAGAGTTAATATTAAATGGATGATTTGCATGCACTTCCAGTCACCAGAAGTGAGCAGAACCATATTTTCTGGTGCATAGCACAGAGCCCTAGTTTAACAACAGGACTAAACAGCACTTGGGTTGTGGCGGAAGTCACTGGATTGCCCTGCCTCCAGGTGCCCCATCACGGTTTCTCTATGTCCTCTCTCAGAGTAACAAGGGTTCCTGCTCCCAATTTCTCCAGCCTCTCAAATTATCTGTCAGGTCACCAGTGAAATATGTGTTTAGTACTAAAGCACAATAGTTCATGATGTCAGCAACTTTTTCTCAATAGAAAAAACAAACAAAAAAACCCCAAAACAAAACAAAACAAACAAACAAACAAAAACTTTACTCGCTCTGCCTAGAAGTATGCCCAGATGCCTCCCTGGGTCCCCAGAGAAAATCAGTTCTGATTACTTTTTTTTTTTAAGTAAAGATTTTTATTTATTTATTTGACAGAGAGATAGAGAGAGCACAAGTAGGGGAAGCAGCAGGGAGAGGGAGAAGCAGATTCCCCGCTGAGCAGGGAGCCCAACTCGAGGTTCAATCCTGGGACCCTGGGATCATGACCTCAGCCGAAGGCAGCCGCTCAACCGACTGAGCCACCCAAGTGACCCCAGTTCTGATTTTAGATTTTGAAAATTCCCTGTACACCACCTCAAATGAAAAAGAGAAATCATTGCAGTTAAGGGAAATTTTTAAGGCAGCAATGCAAATGATAAGCACTTGGTTCCGCTGACCTCTCTCTGATTCTGGGACAGGACTAAAATCTGTTAAGTCTGATGCAGAGTTTGGAATAATTAAACTCCACCGCCAAAGGCCAGGAGAGCAAAGGCTCCGTCTGCAAACCAGAATGGGGGGAATCCAAAAATAAGAGTACAACTCCCCAGGAACCCCGCTGCTCCCACCCCCTCCCGCTTCCCCTACTCAGCCCTCCCCACCCTCCCCTAACTGAAATTGCCTTCTGCGGTCCCACCCACAGCCTCCACCCACCTCCAGGCTCCGCCCCTTGGGGGGTGGGACCCATGGGGGCGACCTTGCTCCTCCCACCCCGCCTTTCCCTAAAAACACAGTCCTTGGTGAGATGACAGGCAGAAGCCACAGAGGACCGGAGTCAGCAAGCAGTGGAGACCTGCCCCTTCGTGGTCCCACTCTGTTATAAAGAGATGTGACCTGCCCCTTCCAGGCAGAAGGACACCCCAGATGTGCTACCGGCCAGCAGCAGGCTATCTCCTTCCCATGCAGCCTTGGGAGGCAGTAAGGCATTTAGAGGGGGGCACCTTCCACAAGGAATCCCATCTGAGAAAGATTTACTGCTCAGAGGCTCCCCCCAGAAGGCGGCACACACACACTAAAAGCTGGTCCTTTTCCTCTGCAGCAAACCTCTTCCTCTGTCACGCTGTTTTGGCCGTGACATCAACGTCAGGCACACAGAGCTATGGAGGCCCAGTAATTCTTGTTCTGTCTCTATTCATGCCTGCGCTTTGGGCTTCGTTGGCTGGTCACTGAAGGCGCTGAGATTTCTGGTTTGTTACAGAAGATCACTGGGCAGGTTTGCACTTCGGGTGTTACTTTGATATGTTTAATAAGCATTTTCA